AACCAGACTCTGAAGTTTGGGGCTGTGCCTCAGGCAGCAAAAAGTTACAGGACACTCCCTGGTTGCGCATGTGCCCAGACTAAAGTATGCTACAGGGCAGTTTGAGTCTTTTCATATAATCTCGTGTTGTCAAAAGAAGATTTGGTGTTTCTCAGTTTGCACGCAAGTCCCTCAGCTCCTGCAGCTCTTTAGCTCGGAAAGGGAAAAGCCCAAACTTGGGAAGTTCCTTTTAAAAACTCCAGCTACCTCAACAGTGGGTGAAAGTTCATTATGTTGAAAAACAAACTCATTATGTGTTTTGAGGCCTGTTATTTTGTTGTTGTTGTTGTTACTGTGCTTTTTCCTTCCTAAAAAAAAAAACCAATAAAATGTAGTTCAATCCTTCTTGTTGCAGGCTTGAGAAACTGAACTTTGTTATGCCCTTCTTCTCAAAGAAGAAAATTAAAAGAGTAATTAGTTGCAGGTAGTTCTGTTACTCGTAACTCATTACTTCTCTCTGTGTGGAGGCTTCTGGAGACCTCTCTGAGACATTAAACATGGAGCCAGACTTTAAATCCATGTGTCACCCATCGGCCGGGTCAACATTTCATGGAATCAGAAGGAACTGGAGTTTTAGGGTTTCTTGTTTTTATTTTTCTGCAGGAAGCCTCCGAGGTCAATCCGGAGATTTCCAGCTCTAAAGATCAGGTAGAAGAGGGTGGAAAGGGCAGCTCCTGGAGAGCTGTCGTTGGTGCAAACGGACGATACAGGGCGAGGTGGACAGTCTGGTCTGGCGGATGGCGTAGGCCAGGGAGAACCCAGGTGACCAGCATGCGCAGAAAGTCCCCGGTTCAGATCCAGGCCGACCCAGATGGAGGAAGAACGGTCTGGTTTACAAGCAGGCAGCCCAGTCTCTAGAGAGAACCAGGCTGGACATCTGCGTAATAAGCAGATCCAGCAACCAGACGTTTTCAGGCACTCATTCATAGACACATCATTTCCCATTACAGTTGTGCCCCGCTGGACGATTACTCCACTCTACGACGAATCCACTTAAAGTTGAAGTTTTTGCGATCGCCTCACAATGTTTAGATGGGTTTTTTTCGCTTAGCAATGATCAGTTCCTGCTTCGGGAACCAATTTTTCGCTTTACGACGATCAGCAAACAGCTGATTGTCGGGTTTCAAAATGGCCGCCGGCTTAAGAAAATGGCTCCCTGCTGTGTTAGGGACAGATTCCTCGCATTACAGGCACAAAAAAATGCCCGCCATATGGAGGATCTCGCTGGACAAAGAGGTATTCAGCCCATTGGAATGCACTGAACGGTTTTCAATGCATTTCAATGGTTTTTTTATTTCATTTGACAATTTCGCTCTAATGCGATTTCGCTGGAACAAATTAACGTCGTCGAGCGAGGCACCACTGTATATGGTTGTCTCAATGACTGTTGATTCCTCTGGTCTGTTGTCTGCCTGCCTGCTGTGATCTCTGAGCAGGCTCAAGCCTCCCTCCCTCTTCCGCCCTGCTCCCGCTGATGTCTCAGGGTCCCAGGTGCGAACAGCACAGGGCCAAGCCCAAAGTCTTACAAATGGACCAATTTGCCAGGAGAGGAGCAGGGGAAAGGAAATCAGAGCACGGAGCCAGAGCCGAAATGCTGGGTCGGGAATCATGGATCTGGAGCACCAGGGCTCAAGAGCACAGGAACAGCCCAGGAACGGCCTGAGCCGGGAATTGCCGACCGTCCCTCAGGACCCCCCAATGCCCCAACGACTGGGGGGGGGTGCCCTTCCTCCCCTCTGGGCCCAGATGTCCCTCAAGATCCCGAGACTCGCGGAGGGCCGGGGCACCAAGGCCCAGAAATGGAGTGAGTGGCAGCCGCGTGATTAAGGATGGCCGCCAGGTAGCGGGTTTAAATTGGTGCAAAAGATATGTGCAAAGCCTCTCAGGTTCTTCTCCTTCCTGCACGTCTCTCGTCCTTTATTTGAACGTGAACGATCAGATGTAACAATCTCTATTTCCCCTTCTCTTTGCCTGGCCAAAGTACTCCAGCTTTCTCTATTTTAACTGCTTTGATCTTTATGGTTTTCACCATCTGGATCCAGTGGCTCCCAAGTTGGGACGCCCAGGTGGTCTCGGACTGCAGTTCCCAGAAGCCTTCACCACCATTTGTGCTGGCTGAGGTTTCTGGGAGTTGCAGTCCACGAACACCTGGGCGACCCAGGAAAGTCTCAGCAACACCCAGTGATGCTTCCACATTCTAGATGCTTGTGCCTTTAAAAAAAATTAATAGTTGCCTGTGTCAAAATCTGCGATTCCACACGGGACAGGAAAAATAAGAAGTTTAAAAAAAGAAAAAGAATACTATAAGATGCATATTCTCAACATCAGTTTAAAATTTTGATTGCTGGTTAAAGAAACCTCCTCTGAGTCTTGACCGTCATAATCCCCACCACTGACCATCTGGGCTGGGCTTTCTAGGATATGAATTCCAGAATATCTGCTATCTCTCTCTCTCTGTCCTATAACATCTATCTATCTATCTATCTATCTATCTATCTATCTATCTATCTATCTATCTATCTATCTATCTATCTATCTATCTATCTATCTATCTATCTATCTATCTATCTATCTTCCTTGGTTTAGTTAGTACTTGCATGTGTTTCCTATACTATATAGAGAGTGCCTTGAAAGCCTTCGAGGCTACATTTACTACAACCCCCAGCATGCACGTCGCAGCACCTTCCTTTTCGCCCCGCCCCTTTCCCACCAAACCATCCGGCCCGGCGGAGGAAGAGCGGCGGCCGCCCATGAGCCTACATCCCCCAGCGTGCCTAGCGGCCAGGGCAGCGTCCGCCGGAGGGCCGGCCTCCCCATCCGAGGGGCACGCGAGGCCTGCCGGGAGGTGTAGTCCCTGCGCGGGTTCCCCCTAACGGTTCGACCAGCTGCTGGCGACGGCTGGTATCGACAGCGGCGGCGGCGGCGGCGCGTTCCCCGTTTCCCTCAGCCGGGTTTTTCGGCGCCTTTAGCGTGCCTAGCGGCCAGGGCAGCGTCCGCCGGAGGGCCGGCCTCCCCATCCGAGGGGCACGCGAGGCCTGCCGGGAGGTGTAGTCCCTGCGCGGGTTCCCCCTAACGGTTCGACCAGCTGCTGGCGACGGCTGGTATCGACAGCGGCGGCGGCGGCGGCGCGTTCCCCGTTTCCCTCAGCCGGGTTTTTCGGCGCCTTTCCTTCTCTCCCTCTCTCTCACACACACACATACACACAAACCGCGAACGAGCTCCGTCCGGCCTCTTCCCTCCGCCGCCAAGAGCGACCCCCCCCCGCACCCCCCAGACGGGACTGGCTGAGGGGAAGCCCGAGAGAGACACGGGTTCGCCGCCGCAGCCGCCGTCACAGAACCCACACGACGCCCGGAGACCCGCAGGTGGGAGACCGGAATGTAGGCGTGTTTGCGTGTGTGGTGGCGTGTCTGTGAGGAGAGGGAGACGCCGCGCACCCCTCCCCCCCTCTCGCTCCCGGGTGGGGCGACCCTGGGATGGTTGTGGGGGGGCTGCCTAGTCAAGGGTGGAGAGGGATTGTTTTTAGGGGTGTGTGTGTGTGTGTGTGTGTGTTTGGGGAGCCACAGCATTGCTGGTGGTGGGCAACGGGCAAACATGGGGGGGCGGTCTGCCTTTGTGTCGACGTTGGCAGGGCACATTTTTGCACAGAAGGGCTGCGAGAGACACATTGTGTGCCCTGTGTTGACAAGACGGGGATGGTGGGGGGGGGAAGAGAAGGGAGAGAAGGCTGTGCCTGACAGCAGAGCCACCACTGGTCTTGTGTGTGTGTGTGTGTGTGTGTGTATCCCTCCATAGGATCTGTCAGGTTTCCGCTCTGTCTTGGAAAGGAGGTTAGGGATGTATCTGGCCGTAGTTGTCCGGAATTGGAACTGCAACTGGAGTCCGGCGGCCAAAACATTGGACCGGGAGGAGGGCGCTCTGAACCTCGCCAGATGACCTTGAGCCGCAGATCCTTCACTTCCAGCCTAACCTCCCTCTGTCCGTCCATAGGATCTGTCAGGCTTCCGCTCCGTCTTGGAAGGGAGGTTAGGGATGTGTCTGGCCTGAGTTGTCCGGAATTGGAACGGCAACTGGAGTCCGGCGGCCAAAATATTGGACCGGGAGGAGGAGGGCGCTCCAAACCTCGCTGGATGACCTTGAGCCACAGATCCTTCACTTCCAGCCTAACCTCCCTCCCTCACAGGGTTGTTGTTGTTGTGTGGACCCCTTCAGAGGGAGAGCAATGTGCATGCTCCCTTGCTTTCTTCAGGGAGGTGGAAGGCAAAGTCGACATGAAAAGGGCCTCACACGTAGGGGGGAACGGCAAGCTAGTGTGGGATGAGGGACAGGAAGGTTAAAAAAGTACCTGTTTATGGCTTGGCGGAGATGGGATGCCAGTGGGCACAAAATATTTTTTGGGGAAGGAAGATGTTTCAACAGGTTTGTTACAGAGAGGACCCATTCGAGAATGATGATCGTGTGCGGTGCATAGAGCATTGATTGGTAGGATGCTGGGACGGCACTCGGGATGCTGGCACAGTGCAGTGAGGTCAGGAGGGAGGGGTGGTGGCACGGGCCCAGGGAAAGGGAGAGCCATGAAAGGCCTGGCATAGAAGGGTTTGACACTGGCCTGGTGTGGGAGAGAATGAAAGCTAGCTTTGCAGTGGAGGGTTTGGTGTTGTTGTTTTTTGCACTTTTAATGAAGCTGCTGTCCGTACCAAGGGATAAAGGGAATAGCACCGGTATATTTGGGGGCTTCCGGTATGCTGCTGGCAAAATAGATTGAAAGTCATGAAAAGTCACGAGAATGGCATGTATATCCCACCTGGTGGGCAGCCTTCAGGCTGCAAAGAAGGAGCAGCCTTGAAGGGAAAGATGGAGAGATGAGTCACAGAGAAGAGTAACAGAAAAGAAGTGGTGCAGAAATGATATGCAGGGACACCTAGGACAAATAACTATTGCACTTTGATTCTTCACATGCTTCGTCAAAAGCCAGTTGCCTTGAATTCAGTGAGATTCATGACACTTACTGCCGTGTAAAGGTACATAGGATTGCAGCTGAAGTGAAATGAGTCCTCACCTAAGTTTTCACTGCAGTCTTTGTTTCATAAACGGAAGAGAAGTATATTTTTATGCTACATTCCATGCAGACTGCTGGTATGTGGACAGAAGGACTTCCAGGGGTGTCTTGCAAATTGGCTGGTGAGATCCTCTGAGAGCTTAGACACACACATATCACAGACAGGGGACCTGCTTCTGGCAAGAGTGTGGGGAAGGTAGAAAAAAAACCCCGTAGATTTTGGGTTGCCCTTTCCTCACTTCCCTTGGGAGCTTGAAGGAGAATTTTAAGCATGCATCCATTCACTTAGGATCACTGGGGATCTTGGATAGCCAGTATTACAAAAGTTTGCAACCTCGTTCGAAGTCGGTAGGCGATTCTTCTTGGAAATGGCTTGGGAAGTATGGAAGGATTATTTTTAGAGGAAAGAGTGTAATGTGTCTGTTCTGCAAGATGCCACTTTTGTTCTGTAAACTGGATTGCATGTTGTGCAGATGTCAGAGAATGTAGCATATATATAACACAGAATATAGTTACCGGTTGTTTGTTTCAAAATGAAGATAAGGCTGTGCTTGTAATGAGAGGATACAAATAGATTGGTGTTGTGTAACTCCTTAGGTAAAGGGGGAAGGAGCCACTTGTACGGTTTCCCCTCTGTGCTAGAATCCCTGTTTTAAAATGACTAGGATTTGATGTGATTGAGGGTGTCACTGCATATCATCTGTGGTCTGAAAGCAGAGTACACTGTGAGGCTGAGAAATGTTTGGCTGCATTAATTTTCTACCATGAATACAGATTGAAATAGGGATAAAGGATTTTAACTCCATTTGAAAAAAGCATTGCTTTAAGAGTTCGTTTATTAGGGCTGCAATAATAAGGGTAATTAAGTTTATCGTTATATTGTGGATTAATAGTATCAGGGTGGACATAACCCTGGGTTCATTCTTCTGTATAAACAGAGGACTAATGAAATATGGCAGTACAAATAATGGTCATTATTGAAAGGTGGTTGGTGATTTTTTTCCCCCTTCCCTTTTTTGCACAAGCTGTTTTTCCTCCCTCCTTGCCCTGTTTTGGTGATAAGCATTCGAGTTATAGCTTGTATTTCTCCTTGATTGAATTTCACCCAGAAAGAATTCAGCTGTGCTGGAAGCTGTCAAATGTGGAAAAATGAGCAGGTTGAGTTTTTTTCCCCCTTTTCTCTCTCTCCTCTCCTTCCTTCAGACAAAGGCAGGTTGCATTAACCAAAGATGGAAAAAAAGGCAATTGGTTCCATGTAGGTTTTGATCAAAATAATTTTTGGGGGATGCAGCTCTGTATGTATTCTTTCTAAGAAATAGTGACATGGAAAGACAAAGCTTTTTTCAAGGATTAAAGATGATGGAAGCATTTTGAGGGACATATTGAACCAAGGTGATTAGATCAAAAGAATTATTTGGTGAAATGTTAACTATGTACATTAGAACACTCTGGGTAGGGGTAGAAGGGGTAATGACAAGGAACCATTTGCTGCCTTGCTTATTTTAATGTTAACAGTTGTGCCCTTTTATGTCACAAATTTTGCCTCATTTACTGAATGTGCATATTAATGACAAGTTTTAATATTTATTTTATTTAAAATATTTTTACCCCACATTTCTCCTAAAAAAAGAACTGAAGGGGGCTTACCTCATTAAAAGATAATATTTAAAACCAGAAAATAACTAATTCCCCTTCCCTGTCCTATGACTCCTGGAAACTGGAGGAGGGGCAGGAAGCTTTTAATTCTCTCCCAAAGGGCCACAGCATCAGGGGTACGCAGTGTAACTTAGGTCAGCAAGATTCTGGCCATTTTGTTACATTGAAACCAAGTTCCAAGATTTTTCATGCAAAACACTGTTCTTTCTACATTTCTTTTCCCATTCCTTTTCTTTCAAAGATCAGCTGTAAGAATTTAGAATTCTCATTTTTAGTTACATGCCAAAAGTGTTTTATTTTTCTGCATTTTATGTGACTTCTTTGTTGTTATTCAGCTGTCTCAGTACTTCTTTGTTGGTCAGCCTCTTGATCCAAGACATCTTTAATATGGTGCCATGAATTCATCTTTCAAATGCATCTAGTTTTTTTGTGGTAGCTTGTGTAAAAGTCCAGGATTCCATGCCATATAGTAGAACTGAGAATAGCATTGCCCTATGGCTTTGCCTTCTCAAAGCTAATTTTAATTTCTCAGATTCTCCCAAGGTAAGCAGTAAAAATGAAAGTTTTGATTATCTAGGTGCTAAACCCCATTTCACTCCATGGGGTTTATTCCAAATTGAACACCTGCTAATTCTTTAGGATTGCTGAAGGTAAGGGAGGATAGGGGATCTTGAAACACTATTTTATAGTTCATTAGCCTGTGTGTAATGCCTTCCAGTAGCCTGGAATAGGGTGGCAAAATGCAGGTCTCCAGATGTAGTTGGATTATAATTCTCATTAGCATTAGCTAGCATAGTACTGTAGCTGAAAAAGAAAGCTGGGTCCAGTAACGTCTTGAGGAGGTACGCATTCCTCATTTCTTCCATAAAATATGCTGCCAAAATAGTTCAGCATTTCTGTTTTTGTTTTGGTCTTGATTTTCCATCTGGGAATAATTTGTATCCCACGTGGAGATTAGCCCTAGATCTTGCAAATTATCCTGGTTTACAGTTACCCTCCGTCTGGGTCAGTAACCAGGACCTCTGCTCCTTGGCTGTATAGGTTTCTAGTCTCTACTCTCCTGTTTTCTGGGCTCAGTGCAAGGAGCACCAGCTGTTCCGGGTCCCACAGCATTCCAGTCCATCCTTTAGACTTTCTGGAGGGAAATAATGGATTTGAACATTCTTGATTTTCAGGCTCTTCCCTATGGGGTGGTTATAGAAAGATACTTATAGGCCTCCTGGCGCTGATCCTGAAAGGTTGCTTTGGCCTCTAAAACAATTGCCATGATTTTCATAGGCTGTAGTTGTAGCAAAGCTGGCTGGATAGATCCGTGGTTTAGGTCTCTGGCTGTGGGCCTAGAGGTTGGGAATACCATTCCCCACTGTTACTCCTAGGGGAAAAGCCAGCCTGGGTGGCTTTGGGCAAGCTGCACAGTGATCCCAGGATGTGGCCCCCAGAAGAAGGGAATGGGAAAACATTTCTGAGTTTTCTCTACTTGGGAAATCCTGAAAAGGGTCAGAACCGACTTGATGACACATTATTATTTTATTAGTTGTAGCAAAGTGTGCCTACAGGCACCGTTTGCCGTCCTAAGAGTCAGAGGGATGTTCCCTCCCTGGGTACACCTTACACAGGTGTGTGCTTGTTACATTTATCTGCTTCTTAGGTCAACATATTGAGTGTGGTTCTCAGTTTAAATTAAAGGTCTACAATTTAATGGACCTCACATGAAATGGGAAGAGAGGGAGTAGGTGAATAAAGCAAATTCAGATACTGTACTGAGACTGTTGAGTGAGTTTGTTCTTGAAGGGGAGGAACTGTGTGCTTGTTTGTTCTGTTAGTCTAATGTACGTGGCAGTTTTGTTGTTGTCTGGCACCCCCACCTCTCCCCATCCCAACCCCCCAGGATTCACAGATTACTTACTGCAGTCTTCTTGCACTTTGTAGTTATTGTTTAAAATGGAGCAAATAGACCTGAAGAAGAGAATTTTGTTAGATGAGTAGGTATTAATTTGCTGAGAAATAATTGCTTCAGAATACCATAGCTTAAACCTGAGAAACACTAAACTAAAGGCATGGAATGCTTGCTTGATTATTTTTCTCTAGTGAAGCTGAATAATGCAGTTGTCAATGTCTTTGTTCAAATGTTTCTGTGCCAGTTGTCAGATTGAGCAGTGACTGAGGAACATGGAAAGAAAGAAGCTGTCTGTAATGAAGATTTTTGTGTGTGTGTGCTTGAAATATTTAATGGTTCCTACGTGCGCACAGAAAAGAGCGCCGATCGTTCTCTGTGCCTGTCCAGCACGGAGAAATGAGAAATAATTGCAATTCTCCAAGAACACAAAACACCTCTTAGGCAGCAGCCTAGGATGTTTTTAGAAAATTGTCTCTTTTCTGCCTCCCCATGATATGTCGACTCAAGCGTAGCTAAATTTTATCCACTCTAATCAGTCTTGAAAGTCTAGGTAAGCCTTAAAATGGTCACAATTGCAAAGGCACCCTTCTTAGGCAGGCTGAATGTGTATACTTCAGCCTAAGAACCATTTCTGACTCATTTTAAAACATGACAATCATAGCTGGATTTTTGATCTTCTTTCATAAAACGCTGGCTGGCTGAAGATGATGAGCTTGTTAAAAGGGAAATACTGTTTCTGAGCTTTCTTTCCTGAGCTCTCTGTCTGCCCTTCAGTCCAGTTTATGATCTTCATTTGTCTTCCTTTAATGCCTTTCAGGCTTGATTTTTATCTATTGAAGCTCTTGATTTAAGTACAATTCCTATACCATCTGTGCTGCCCACGATTCCCTTTAATTTGGAGACATTACTTTGCAATATGAGGAAGTCCTTTGCTCAGTCTCTCTCTCTCTGTCTCTCATTTGTAGGCCACCTTTCTCCTGATAAGGGGATTCAAGGCGGATCACATTATTGAAAAGAGTAGAACTAAAAGCACAGTAAGTTATACATTAAAAATAACCGAACTATAAAACTGATTAAAATGTAGGGAATAATGAAAAACGTGTAAAATGTTGAAAACGATCTTCGTTTAAAAAATGGCATTCAGGGACTCAGTCCTGATTGTTAAGTAATACTGATTAAAATGTACGGAATAATGAAAAACGTGTAAAATGTCGAAAACTATCTTAGTTTAAAAATGGCTTTCAGGGACTTGGTCCTGATTGTTAAAAGCCTGCCTGAAAACGTGGGTCTTCAGCTTTTACCAGAAGGAGAAAAGGGAGGGACGGGGCAGCCTAATCTCCCAAGGGGGAGCCTTCCATAATGTGGGAGCAGCCACGGAGAAGGTCCTCGCTTGTCCCCATGAACCGTGCCTGTTCTGGTGATGAGACTCAGAGGAGGCCTTCCTTTGATGATGATCTTAGGCACCGAAAAAGATCATGTGGGGAGATACAGTCCTTCAGGTAGCTTGGATTTTGAATAACACTGGAGTCTATGCCAGCATGGTCATAGGAGGAGTCCTTCAAATCTTGTTAAGAGTGGAACTCCCGCTGTCCTGAGCCAGCAAAATCAGTGGTGAAATGTGCCCAGAGTACCATTCAGAAACATGCAAAGGCTACGTTATGTCTTAATCCGAGAACTGCAGAACTAGAAGGGGCCCTATGGATCATTGAGTGCAGCCCTTGTTAACACAGTGGGGAATTGAACTCTCAACCTCTCATTCTGCAGCCAGATGCCTAACCCACTGAGCTATCCAGCGACTAGAAATAAATGTAAAATGACCATAGTTGTTAAACTATACATGGCAGCACTGGGAAGTAATCATAGAGCTGAAGTGGGCACCATTTGGCCCTCCAGATATTGCTGGACTGCAACTCCCAGCCCTCCTGACGGTTTGCTGTGGTGGCACCGGCTGATGGGAATTACAATCTGGCAATAGCTAGAGGGCCTCATGTTGTGAATAGCAGGAAGATGTGTTGCAGTAACTGTAAATAATACATTTTTGTGTAAAAACACATTTTCAGAATTCTGCTGCACTCCGACTTAATCAAGGAAACAGTATGGGGCTGTTCAGGTGATTGGGAGGTGCTCTACATGTGCAGGATCAGCTTCCTTCTCAGTGGTTGGGGACTCTGGGTTACCATTACTCTGATTGTATCATTCATTGCTGCTGGGAAAAGCAAAGCAGTACATTTGGACAGCTTTGTATGAAGGTAACATCTGCCTTCCACCGCTTAGAGAGAGAGTGGCCTGATCCCCTCTGGCAGGAATTGTATGTCTGTTTCACTCAAAATGAAGATAGGCTAGAATAGGTTTATAGGCACAGCTATGAAGGGACCTTTAGCTGGATGGTGGTTCTTGGTGCTTTGGCTGGCTAGGAATATCTAACATGCCTGAAGATAGGTATTAACAACAGGGACATTCAGCATTGTGGATTATAATTTGCACTTGAAACAAGGTGGTTTCTGCCTAGTGTTAACAATGAGCTTAAAAAAATTTTTTTGCAGTTACAAAAGCATGTCTTTAGAGTGAAGCACCATTAATTACTCCTGGAGAATTAAACCCAAACAATGAAGACAGCGGATCGCTAATTAACTAAATATTTTTCACAAAGCTAGGCAATATTAGGAGGAATGCAATGTCAGCCAACAGTAAGCTTTGCAGTAACATTTCTCGACCTCTCACATACAATATTAAGCTGCAGTTTGAAGTAGGGTAAGGTGGCAACTGGGGAGTGAATCTTCTGTGCATCTTCCCCTCCCTGCATCACTCCTGGCACATGTCCTGCTGGAAGCAGCCGTGGCCCACCAAAAGCAGCATACCCTGAAAGGTGGGGGGGGGCATTGCAGGGCTTGGCATTTTGGGCCTGGGCCAGATAACCAATTGTTCTTGTTTAGCTGTTAAGTCATGTCCTGTGGCCCACCAAAAGCAGTATACCCTGAAAGGTGGGGGGGGCATTGCAGGGCTTGGCATTTCGGGCCTGGGCCAGATAACCAATTGTTGTTTTTTAGCTGTTAAGTCGTGTCCAACTCTTTGTGACCCCATGGACCAGAGCATGCCAGGCCCTCCTGTCTTCCACTGCCTCCCGGAGTTTGGTCAAAAGAACCAATAAATAATCATAAATGTCTTAGAACTGCAGAGCAGGAAGGGACCCTACCCATCGTCAAGTCCAGCCCTTGTCAAGGTACTTATGGGAGAAAACTCATTGCTCAGAGGACAATATTGTTGTTCATCTGAGGTTGTATTTAATTTTCAGACCTACTAAGGACTAGATGATTTTATTAGGTCCTGATGCATAAAACCTTAGAATTCAAAGAGGATAGACTTTCTTTTTTGAATGACTGTATATGGGAAGCCCAAAAGTAGACTGTGACCTCAACAGACAATGCTTAACTAATCTGACAGTTTCCTTTATATTGTTATGTGCTGTCAAGTTGCTTCCATCTTATGATTTTTGTTGTTGTTTAGTTGTTTAGTCATGTCTGACTCTTTCTGACCTCATGGACCAGAGTATGCCAGCCCCTCCTGTCTTCCATAGCTATATGAATATTGTTATGTGTTGTCACGTCACCTCTGACTCATGAAGACCCTATACTTGTGTCTTCCTTTAAGGTCCTTTAAGGTCTTTAAGCTTTGCTCATCTCTTACAAACTCAAATCTATGGCTTAATTTATTGAATCAATCCATTTCTTATGTAGTCCTCTTTTTTTCTTTTCCTGTTGGTTTCAACTTTCTCTCTCTTTACCAGTGATATATGTTTTCTCATCATGTGTCCAAAGTATGGTAGCTTCAGTTTCATCATTTTTTGCTTCTAGAGAAAGTTCAGGCTTGATTTGATTTGCCTTCCTAGTGCGCCATGATATACATCAAAATCTCCTTTGACATCACATTTCAAAATAATTAATGCTTTGTTATGTCAGTTTTCTTCAGTGTTCAGTTTATACCCCATACACAGTAGTAATACCATAGTACAGATTATTTTTGCCTTGGTTTTCAGTGACACATCCTTCTAAGCAAGGAACTTTTCTAGTTCATTCATTGCTGCCCTTCCAAGTCTCAGTCTTCTTCTGATTTCTTGGATGCAGTATTAATTTGGACTGATGATTGAACCAAGTTCTTCAATGTTTTCAAACAAAACCAGTCCAAATTAAAAAAAACACAAAAATATAGTGGCACCTAAAGACTCACGTTCTCACCATATTTTTGTACACTATTTTGTTTTGGTTTTATTTGGATACAGTTGGACAGACAAACATGGCTACGTCTTTGAAAACTACAAGATCTTCAACTGTTTGAGCTTCTTCATTGTCAACATTAAATTATGTAATTAGTTTAATTACTCATTAATCAATATTCAGTTGCAGCCCTGCTTTTATTCATGAAAGCTCATGCTGAATGTTTGATTTTTAATGGTCCAAATAAAGGTATCAGCTCTCCTACGTTTGTATGGTATCATCTGTGTATCTTAATTTATTGACATTTCTTTCAGCTATTTTCACTTCTCCTTTATCTGAATCTGATATAGCTTCCGTATGCTATGTTCTGAATATAGATTAAATAGATAAGGAGAGAGAAAAATATCCTTGTCTGACATCTTTTCCTATGGGGGACCATCCCTCCATATTTTGTCTTAACACCAGCTTCTTTTCCAGAGTATAGATTATGCATCGGGACAATCAAGTGTTGAGGCATACACATTTCTTTTAGAGTTATCCATAGCTGTTCACAATCAACACAAAGACTTTGCCGTAATCTATAAAACACTAAGATCATGGCCACTGGTCCCATCACCTCTTGGCAAATAGA